GTGATATTAATCGTACCCTTTGTTCAGGCCAGTCTGGCTATACAGTCTACAATGCAGTGTGCAAAAACACCAATAAGTGAATGGTGGACACCTCGAAGGGAACACCTAAATGTATTAATACCCCATTGTGAAAGGCAAACACCTCAAAATGTGAACCATTTACTAGGTCCAATTGTCTAAATTCAGAAGAGTTTCAACGAATCTGAACATGTTCCGTCCACTGCATTGTACGACTGTATAAGCAAGATTAGCGTTAACAAATCATGTAATATGGAAAATGTTGAATTTGAGTTAGTATTCATGTGAAGCAATTATATAAGCTAAATCTACAAGATTGGGAAGGATTTCCTATAAAGAGTCATTCATTTAGATAAAACAGACTCAATTATTAATGCAATGTGTATTTTTACAATGTACCCCATTGAATAATTGATACAAAAACCTGTAGTGAAAATGTCTATAGAAAATTGGCATGGCATGTTTGCATTGCATTTTTGAGTTCACCTGTTTTACCTATATGTAGATAGTGGTATATAGAGTGGTCTATAGAGGTTTATCTAGAATATCACTACAGACGATTCATCCTACAATTTCGCAAATGCATACGTATACAAAGGAAAGTATACAATTTCTTATAATAATACATGCAGATCAGGACTAATATTAATAACATTTACAAATAAATCTTAGATTATTAACATAAAGGTTGAAAGTTTCAGCACTGTTCAGTACAAGACTGACCTGCACGATAATAAAACAAGAAACAGAATCCAGTGGCAATTTTGCCGTCGCCCAATCTTTCGCTCCATTTGTAGTATAGTAATCAAATGCATCCATTGGCAAAAATATTCTAATATATATTTTTAGAAAATATTTCATTCTATCTGTAAAATATAAATAGCAATAGCCCACATATATTATAATATATGTGATAGCTCATATTTAAATTACGTCACATCGCTGGCCTTTAACTACAACAATGGTCACTGGGGGGTATCGTGATGCAACAACACCGTGTTGTTGCATCAAGATGGCCAGACTTCCGGTATTAGATTTTCGTACGATATTTTGTTTTCCCAATTTAAACCCATTTCTAGGACGAGTTGCTCAATAATCATACACGTGCAGTTAGCTCATGATCTATATTTTAAAAAACTCTCATTAGTATGCACGTAGCATCATCAAGAAGCGAGAAATTCGCGGTTTTAATTCCTCACTATTGATGCAACAACACCACTCTGTTTATTATCGATGATGCAACAACACCAATGTGCTGATGCAAAAACGCCAATATAATGTATCATTGAATATCAAGAGAAACTGTTTTATGTTCTGTTTATAGGTGTTGGTCGGGACATGAATAAAACGCGTGAGTGCGTGGTTCATGAATGAAACGTATTTTGTTTGGTTCCTTAATGTATTTGTCTTTATCAAAGTTAAAAGGATATACAAGGTAAACTAAATACATAGGCTAAGTATTGAATCCCCGGGAGCCAACCTCATTGATATTGTATCTGAAAAAATAAAGATTATTCACTTTCTAAATTAAATCCCCTTGATTTACCGTATAGTATGGAACTTGTTTACAAAGAACTATAATATAACTAGACTTTGGAAATTGAACAAGTTCAATTTCAGACTCCAGATCTAAAAGGGATGGGATAAAAGGGATGGGATAGGAAGGATAGGATTGAATAAGAAGGAACGATAGGATAGAATAGTAGGATAGGATAGGAAGGATGGATGGAAGGATGGATGGATTTTTCAACATTTTCTTCGCTACTCTTGACTTTCTATCAGGATACCATCAGATCGATTTTTATTGAAATTTAAAAACGCCATAACTTCCGAACCGGAAGTCGGATCGAAATTTGGTTTGCAGATTCTGATTACTGAGAAAATTATATTCTTCATTCATAACTCAAACGTTAAATTTGGAGATTTTATTTATTTTGACCTACTTTTTGGACACCATATCTCAAAAGTGGGTTAAAATACTTTCTGACGGCAAAAGGCTAACACTATAAGTACACTCTTGGCTACATGTATACACAATATCGAAGAATATAATTGAAGTGTAGTGTCAGAATCACAAAAATAAGGAAAACTTTGAATTTGACCTAGATTTTGACCTAGACATTTTTGTGTCCAAATTTTGAAGCTAAATTGCTTTTGAGGTACCCTTCATTTAAAGACTTTCATTAGATTAAGCTGTACTCGGTCGTATACATGTATATGTCGTATTTTACACTTCAAAAAAAATTTCCCATTGACTTAACATGGGGCACCAAATTTAGCGATTTTGAGTTTTCAAAACGCCATAACTTCCGATGAGTGTTGGTTTAATGATATTGCAGTTATACAATGCTATTATATAGAGGTTATTTACTGAGAGGGATTCAATATTGGTTTTTATTCCGGGAGACATTATCATATTTCCCGAGGGCCCAGGGGGAATCTGGGATTACTGTATCCCTATCAGTTTACCTTTTCGGGACGTAAATCCCATTACCTACCTTTATACTCAATCGGGGAGAACGAATCCAAAGAGAACAATACTTCTACATGTGCGCCCTGCAAGATTTCCAAAAGCTCTTCGTGTTTACCGAGAACGAAAGATGTTTGTCCACCATTTAGAATGATACTAACTGGTATCAGGGTCATCAAGCTATCGAACAGGGGTTTATGAAAATAGATTGGGTTTATAGCTTGCAATGTTAAAGGCGATTGAACTATGTTATAAGACAACTTCCAGTACATTATGATATTTAAAAGTATAAATTTTTGAAAATAACTATATAGAATCTTCGCCCACAGGACGTGTATTTTAATGCCTGAGAAGAACGCAAATGGGTACTGGCCCGGTGTTGCAATAGTAGCATTTAAAAATCTGTTCCTCCCGAGATTTATGGTCTACTGAAATAATACTATTAATTGGTGTTGTTGCATCATTGCTCAAATCTAGAGGAGTGTTGTTGCATCTTCAGTTTGGTGTTGTTGCATCAATAGTGAGGAACTAAAACCGTGAACTTCTTGCTTCTTGATGATGCTACATGTATACTAATGACAGTTTCTTTAAATATAGACCGTGCGCTAACTTCACGTGTATGGTTATTGAGTAATTCGTCCTAGAAATGGGTTTAAATTGGGGAAACAACATATCGTACGAAAATCTATCACCGGAAGTCTGGCCATCTTGATGCAACAACACGGTGTTGTTGCATCACGATACTCCCCAGTGAATGGTGGCCATGTTGTTTACAACTTTGATATGGCAAAAATTAGAATCTGCAATTCTAAACAAATGTATACCTGTCATTCTATATTACTGAAACTACATCTATGCAACACAAAAATGGAAAATAATGCCTTTTTTCTTATAACTGATATGATCGGGTATCGTTATTCATAAATAACTGCTTATTGAACCAGTTTTTCTGTAAACATTTTGCTTATCTTACAAAATGTGATCAATGGCAGCCATTGATGTTATGGTGTCTAATGATACAAGATATCAATAGCCACTAGCCAGTTACTCTGTGTTACTCCATTCAGCTCACAGTTGTTATGGTAACTGAATAACATGAGTTGGCATTAAATGAGTTGGCATTTAGAATGACAGGCATAAACTCAATGGGTACCCACTCAATGAGTCAGCCATACAGTACATTAAAACATATCACATATAAAACATTTTACATTTCTATTACATTACATTATAACAATGATGTAGCCTGGTGAAATACGATGAGATAATCACTATTATAGTGTGTAGAATTCAACAATCAATGAATAACAATGCTGCCAACCAAGCTAACATTACTTAACTTCTAGTCTACACAAACTATAATAGTAGTTATGTCAGGCAAAAATAACAAGCAAACACAATTCTTTGCTTATCAGGTCTACTCAGTACTCAGGGTCTACAAATAATGCTTGAGAATCATACATATGTTGAGGTTCCACTTGGGGTGCTCTTTGTTGAGAAACATGACTTATTTGGAATACACTTCAAATCTCACATTTTAACATGTGATTAAAGTATAATCTACATATAATCCTCAGATTGTCTGATGTGAGAATAGTTTTGTGAATAACATGGACAATTTGCAGGAGTGCCCATTACATAGTGAAACACAGAATTTGGAGCATTTTATATTTTAAGACAATTTGTCTGTAAACTTTAAAAATTCCAAAGTAAAAAATTACACTATAAAAGTATATGAAGAGAAAATAACTATCAACTTAAATATTAAATATTCTTAATATTATGCAATTGACCCTGGTGGACAAGATAAGGCCATCTCATCATACTGTACACCCAAATGGTGCAATCTCAATTTAAAGGGCCAAACAAAAAAGATTGGCGGAAACTTTATTTTTACATCTAATATCTTGAGACATTTATGTTACCCTCCCAAAATATATATAAAAAAAAGATGAATAAACGTACCCTTAAACACATAACACCACATCCGATTTTCCCATAGTTCCTACAGCAAAACCATAAAATACAAATACCCTCGTTTTATTAAGGTGACTGATATGTTTGATTCTATGCATGATATCTGTACAATAGCAATCTCTGATGAATATTATTCCAATTAAAACAGACAAAATTCATTGCCATTGTGTTTGTTCTGATAACAGTGTGCTTCCGAAGTATGACAATTTCAAGAATTACTGAATGAACAACTACATTTGCAATATGATTTTAACATAATAATTCTTTGAAACAAAGATAACAAATGAAGGTGTTATGGCAGCCAACTTATGCCATGGAGCCAATAATGAGCTAACTCTATTAAGTCCATGCACGCAGCATATTAGTATCTTAACAGCTCTATAATTCTCTTAATTAAAGATATTATAAGACATTCAACATTGGTACTGTTGGAGTTGTGTACTTGGAAAAGAAGACCATATGGAAATTATGACTGAATGGCAGGTCAGTCATGATGGAGCTCAGATATTATCTGTGTTATTGATTTGTGTTTATAGATTGTACATGTACAATGATATCAATACTAAGCTGAAATAGCCTTTCTTATGATATAGAAAGTGTCATGGTTACTGGTCATGTTATATACCTTGCAAATGAAACAGAACACAAAATGAACATTTATTTGAAACTACACTGACCATAATGTAGGTATAATGCAATGGTAGATCAATGCATCGGATTAACCTCACGTATTATTTGGATAATTCTGATACCAATATAAAGCAAACAAAACAATAAACAAATATTAACCAAAGACCAAGCCATTTCCAAACCCTATTGAAACTAGAAACATTGAATGAATGTTGAAAACAGAAATAACAAGGCAACTAAATCCATCTGATAATTCTCAATCTCAAGCAAAGGTATTAAATAGTATTAACAATAATGGTTTATTCATCATTTTATCCAGAAACCAGCTTGTCAGTCCTTGTCTGAACAACATTAAACCACTTGAAGAAGGATTATGATTCTTCATATTATGTAACAACCAAGAGATAAGGCCGATAAGCACTCTGACATTCTAGTGGTGACAACCATTTCACCCTGTATTCAACCCTAGTTTTCACAAACAGGCATTAGCAGAATATTGTAAATACATCACACAGGGATCAGGAAATGTGCCTTGAACATCACTAATGAAACCTGAGCTGAGTAAGCATTTTATGTCAACATCAAATATGTGACATTTAAGCACTGATGTACAAAATTGCCTATTCAATACAGAGATATGCTATACATGAATGAGATTATTCTAATCTTGATTTCCTTCTGGCTCTGCAGTATCTAGATCCATTTTCATTTTCTTTAGATCCCCATTTTCCATTGAGCTTTTAAACATTTCCTTTGTTTCCATAAAGCTCTTTTGAATTTCTCCCTGTAGCGATAATAACTTTTCCAACTTTGTAATTTTTGTGAGATCGCCAGCACATAGATATTTTGAATGCAAATCATCATAACAATCACCTATATTTAAGCCAGCGCACTGCATTTTCTTAACGATATTATTTTCCTCAAAAGGCTGCGCTTCATGAATGAGCACAAATTTCTCCTCACTTTGATCAACACATTTCCCACAAACCATACACACTTTCTTGTTCACTGCACCATCAGTGGATTCTTCTGTAATCTTTCGTTTACGCTGAGAACCAGGTGAGAGACTCCCTGTATCACCATTCATCTCTTGAACTGTGCTTTTAATGTCTCTATCTGGCACATTAATGGCCCCACTAACTGCACTATCAAGTCCTAATAGTGTGTTCTCATCACATGAGTCCACTTCAGAGAGAACCTCAGTGTCCTTTAACAAATCAGCTTCCTCAGATCCATTTTCTAGCCCTACAATCTTATTGATTATATCATCAATAATCCCTTCTGCTATTTTCAATGGTTCATCAGTTACATCTGTTATTGACATTACAGTGGCAGCAGGCCTAGGGGCGGGGGATTGACGGGAGACTGGATGCCGCACGGTGGATGGTACAGAGACTGAGGGACGAAACTGGGGCCTCATATGGAGAGGTAGTGGCATTGGTGGTAGCATCATAGGTACACCTCCCTGGGGCCTCATTGGAATTCTAATATACTTGCCCTGGTTGGACATGTTTATCATGGGCACATTGGGCACTGTGGCTTGTTGACGTAATTGAGGCTGCATCAGGGGAGATCCTTGGAACACCACAGGGTTTAATGTGGAGGTTTGATTCACTAATCCAGGGAGTTGAGCCTGCTGTACTCTGACAGAGAAAGGCATGGAGTGCATATGTGAAACACTGCTGACAGCTAACTGCTGGGGAAACTGCTGCATTTGATGGAGGCTCGAGGCAGAGGCCTGCGATAGAGCTTGCTGAGTTGCTGCAGCTGCATAAGAAGCAATTTGTTGCTGGTATGGGCTCTGGTGGTTGCTCTCCCGCTCTGTCTCTGCTCCTGAATTCTGCAACCCAGGACTTTGCTGACCAGGCTGCGTCCCCTGCGTCTTGATCTTGTGATAGGTTGGTGTTACAATGTGAAGATTCTGGTTGTTTGATGAGCCAGGGGCAGGTTGGGCTGCGGGGACAGTGGGTTGCTGGGTGGCTTGTTGGGACGGTGACTGCATATTTGCAAGTTGAGCAACATGTCCGGCTTGCATTAAACCATTTTGAGGCGCAGACATTAACTGCTGTTGGGCTTGCACTATACCTTGCATTCCTGGGTAGAGAGATTGCAGTTGCTGGGTGGCAGGATTCATGACTTGCATCTGTGGAATGCGTAACCCCTGGGCAGGTAACCTCATAGGTATTCCCATACCTTGAACAGGCCTCATCATCATACCTGACTGCATTATGTTCTGCGGCAACATTATTAGATCTGGAACAACAAAGATTGTTCAAATTTATAAAGTAGTCAGTACAAACAAATAGTAAGTAACATACATATGATAAAGGTAGTCACTACGTTCAAAAACAATGTTTGCATTAATCAAACTGTATTCAGTATTTCAGTCCAATGTCATCATTATCTTCTTACAATTTAAGCAGCTGTTTCCACCAACATTTTTTATTTTTAGGTGACAAAAGTATCTGCTGCCTGCTTCCTGTTCCCAGGGGATATCCAATAGAGCTAATGTGCCATTATCTCATTAATGAGAGTAGTTTTACAATGCATGTAAATTGTAATATGTATCACAATCAATACCTTCGATTCACAGGTGTTTTAAATACAATGTAATGTATATAGCTCTCAGTACAACCATAATAACAGTGATATCAATATTTCACATATATTTCCCAATTATTCTGTCAGACCTACATTATACCAAACAACAGTTGATTCACTTCCATTTTCATGTCATATCAGGAGCTGAAACATTTTTGTTTTCTCTGTAAGTCATACCTTTATTTCAAATAAATTCATTGAGTGGAAGCTTTTCTGCTCCTTTGGGTATGAAACACTGTGTTATTGTGTTACTGTAATACTGGATATTGCGTTAAGTTAATAGAAGACATTCTCAATACAAGATATATAATTGAATTACATTGATTAAGTCCTCTATATCTCTTATATATTACACCATCTACATCCAGACACTGAAATGATAGCACCCTTATCTCATAGATCATTTGCATCATCACCGCTTGAATTAAACCTATAAATCTGAACACCTGGCTAATCTGAAAACTCAGTTCTGTTTTTTCTTAACTTACAGTTTCATGAGAAAATGTTAACAATGAATTCTGATATCAAGTCAACTGTTTTTATAATGTTCAATTTTTGAACTATAATTTGTCATTTGACTGGGGAATTCATTTGAATGCTTCTAGCCAGTCCCAGTCCCAATTTAGATTGAACAGGTTATACTGTATTCAACTGTACTCTCTGATTTACGTTATCATAGCTACAATTTTCTCATTCTGATACTCAGACCATCTCTGCCATGCACAAGAATCTAGAAGGAAACTGAGAAAATGCTGTGATATCTCACGATGCAATTTTCTCCTCAAGTTACTTGACTAGATGCAAACGTAGAACTTCTCCAATTTGTCTAAAACCTTTCTAGAGTTTAATTTTAGGGATATATAATACTGTTGACCCCTTCAGAAGTAGATTAGACACAGAGTGTGAACTCAAAGATGCCAGAATTACAATGCAACTGAACAATGATTTACATTTATAAGATATAAGGACATAAGGACTGGAATAAATATTCATTCCATTTCCATGCCTTCAGGTATAAGACACTACATATGCTTTGCATTCATTTGACTTACTTCTAAAAGGATAGCTTGGTCTACACTAATCAAAAATAAAGAATTCCAAATAGAGCATCTGTGAATATCATGTACATATATACCCTCAATGAATCAATAAGCATGTCTTATATACATAGGTTCCAAAGAATATCATTGTTTGTACAGCAAATTGAATTATCCAATTCTACTAGTGGTAAAACACCTGTGTCAATCACCTTCATCCTATACATACAATGAAAAAATTGATCATAAAAGACACTATAATAACATACAGGTAACCTACAGTCAATCGCTATATGTGGATGGTAATATTGCACCTGGGAAACATCCATCCCATTGATCTGTGCACTGTATAATATAAAATCAATTTGGATAATATATTATACTAAACCGAAAAATTTTAGCATGCATGATAAATGAAGCCAATTTGAGTCTCAGTGTAAGGATTTCCTACTAACTCAACTGTAACTTATTATAACTGTAACATCAAAGTAGAGAAGTAAAAAGGATTTACTTGTTCCCTAAAATATTCTGACCTTTTCCCCAAATAACACAATCATTTTAAATGCGACAATTTCAAAAACTGCAAGATGTTCCAGGATTACATAGTTTTTCATGATGATATCAAGTTGGTTGATGAAAAGAAATCCTGATTAAATGAGAATTAATTTGTCTCACTAGGTGAGATAGAAGGATGTTTCATCAGCTTAGCAACAGAGCTGTAGGCAGATATACCTGATAAGTATTAGTAAGATACAACATGGTTACCTATGGCATCCTCTTCCTTGAGGCAGAATACTATGTTGTAAAGAGAGATTATTATGACTGGTGTGTTTGTATTCAGAACTCTCATATTGTAAGAACACTGTAAAATGGTTGATCCTAGCAGTCAAAGGGTTGTTTACTAGATGATGAGCCAAAACGGTACTGTGATGATCAGAATTTTTTTACATTATCTATAAGGTATAACCTACCTTACTGAACACTTCTGTGTACTCTGAACAATCTTTTTAAGGTTAATAATCTAGCAATTAGAATTTGGAAAAGGATTGTAGGGAGTACTGAAATGGCAACATCATTAATTAACATTACTTTTGGATCACCCCGTATTTAGGTTTTACTTTTGTTTCCTACATAAAGAAATGGAACAAGACGTTACTGAAAAGAATTTGTAAGGATACCAAACAACCACTGCCATAATATTTTTAAATGCAATGTTAGCAAATTGCTATTTTCTAATTATCATTCAAAAAATGACTAGGATGATTTTTAGCACATTTTCTCACTACCTGTCAAATTATCAAACAGTTTCTCAAAATTGGCCTTATAGGTGATTCCTGATAGAGAACTTAGGAATTAGAAATTTATTGGACAGGGGAAATTCTGTATTCCTCTCTGAGTTATGCATCGTCAGGGACTCGTGAAATATATGGACTTACTCAGCATCAGTTATTATTCCTTTTAGGGGAATATACCAACTGGAATAATATCAAGCTGACAGTATTTTTTGAATAAATCTACATTTTTGTAATCTGCTTCCAGATAACTCAAGTAGTTGCCACTACAGATAATGGAAAGACAGAAAGAATAGCAAACCATACAGGGTGAAAACTGAATTGCGGGAACAGGAAGGAAATATACTTTCACATTCATGATACTTTTCTGGCTTTTCTTTTTCAAAACTAGAGTTAATGAGATTTCAATTATAAATATGCTTCCTGAGTGAAATCATTAAAATGTTTCCAATTAGTTTATATGTCGGCAGGATTCCCTGGTAATTGTTATGCTTTGTGCTTCAAATAGTATTTCATTACTTGAATTCTAGAAATAGACTCAAATAAGCAAGTGAATAAAGACTTACAGTAACCCAAGCATATCTGACTGTGGAGTTCACACTCAAAATGAGCAGGGGGCTCTGACACAGATACCGCCCTACTGTTTTAGGGAGCCAAAGAGCTTGTCTATATCAGTGGAATTACAAACCCAGTTTCAACACCTATGCAAATGTAGAGTTACAAAGTTATCATGTCTTGACTCCACTTACTTCATAAAAATGAGGAAAAGTTTTCCATAACTTTAATTTTTTATTTCATTTCATTTTTTAAAACATTCTCTCCATATGTATCATCATCTAGCATTTATTATGGCAAAATTACATATTTTACTAAAACTCAATTTTTGTCAGCCAATAAACAATAAACAAAAAGTAAGACACTTCAATCCCTTTAATATTCCACACAAGACCTTACATTCCCTTTGATACCATAATCTATATCAACCATATACCTGATTTCAAGGTCTCTGGAACCCAACAGTGTTGCAATGATTACATATTACTTCAATAGAAGTATAATATAGAATAGTATAATGTAAAATATATTATGAAGGAATTGTGTTATTCATCAAAAAGCTCTACAATGTCAATTGTTGTGCAGTATATTGTATTTGTCAAAGATAAACAAGACTTCCCTGAACCCATTCAACATAATATAGTATTATTTTTTATGGGTGTAACAATTTCAACTCTTTATACATGTATTTATAATTTATAAATGATCTTAGTTCTAACTGCCATTGATTTTTGGACTAAATGATAAATTATCATGCGATGTCAGGATATCCATCTGTTTTGCATGATTATAAAGATAATTTAAAAAAGCAAATGCCAAAATGAGGAATCACAGAATTCCAAGCAAATTAACCCAACTAATTACTGACATGCTTTCAGGGCATAATACTAAAATTGCATTTTCACTGCTAATATGGTTACTTCATGGAATATCTTAATTATGCTGGTTTAATTTGGTTGAATGCTTCATATATAGGGGTTTTATCAGAATAATAAGACCTGGGTATGAAAGACGATCATCAAATGCATTGGCAGATGTGAAACTTCATCTGGTTCATGGATATCACCATAACATGGACATATGTAGCTTTGAATATTCACGAGCCGCATCAAGTAGACTACAGATTCCAGCATTTTGATTGGTCCAAAGAATGTGCATGTGCTAATGTAATGTGGCCATATTCAAGCTACTAACTATAAACACGAATATAAACAAATGATGTGCGACTGACTTTACTTTCATTTCCCCGGTACCTAAACTTTAGTTGTGTATGTCTATGTTAACCCTAAAGTGAAAGAAACATTTAATAAGATGAAAAAGAAGAGATTTCAAAAAGTTTGTGAGGTAATGATTTAAATATTACACTTTATTTGCTATAATTGGTGACTTTCAAATGAGCGCTTATGTTCCTAACTTCCCTTCTAGAAGTTCATAAAGTTCATAAAGTTAGAACTTCATAAAGTTCAGGACGTACAGAAGGACAGATGGAGACGTTCAGACCCTAAGATTCCCACACGCCAGGACGCCAGCGGCACCTAGTTTTAGTGGCTGGCGTGCTTCGTCACAAAATACAAGCCCCCCTGACGTATTTCAAAACGACCTATGAGCTTACCTTGATTGACTATATACGTCAATATTGGTCATGGTTTCCCCAATCCGCGGTAATATGAATAAAAGTTTGAAACTTCAATTTCATTTTTCATTTTGTTTTTCCGTGGATGCTGATCCAAACAGGTAAGTAAGTCGCATCCTCATTGGTTCAAATTTAAAAATCTGCTTACTTCCGCTCGCACACGTAAGTAAGGCGTGATCTCATTGGCTTATATGCCTAACTTCAGCTCGCAACAACCAATTAAATTTGCTGCCGTTTGGGCAAGTTTTTTGCGCATGTGAACTTGACGGTCAAGGTCATGAACTTAGAATAAAATTTTCTTTCTCTTTTTAACATTTCTCAATATTCTTAAGACTTTTACACGGAAAATAATGATCGATCGTTACAGTTAACTTGAGTGGGATCTTGAGGTATAACACTAGATAAATATCCGACGATCTTTTGCGGAAATGATAAAGATAATCGGGGAAAACTCTTCATTCAATTCGCAGGGCTCTATTGGGAATTTTTGCAATTGATTCTTGGTTCATTTAGCGATCTTTACGGTAAACCCTCCAATAACAATCCATGCCATTATTGCAGAGAAATGCTCATACCCCGTTCTGATGTTTCTGATTTTTGGCAAGAAAACTTTACTAGCCTCATGAAATTCCTGTTTTTCTTCTTCATGGGCACATTAAAAACACAGATGGTTGGTGGGGGAGGGGGTCTTCAGGACCAAGTACATATAGAGCTCAGCTGGGGGGGGGGCATTTTCTTTAGGACAACTCTATTATTCTGATTTTTCTAAGCGCCCCTAAACAATATGGTAAGTGATTTATTGGACTTGTAACGTTCAGATTTAATAGTCCTTTTTGGCTTGTATTTTTTTGGATGGACTTGTAAAGTTTTGACTTACAAGTCCAAAGGACTTGTATCAAATATTCCGAATCTTAGGGACTGGAGACGTTCCCTATATCCCTCCGAACTTATTGGGATAACAAAGGTGTGACATTTTTAGCTAATTTTCAAAAAATGTAAAAGATATAGTCCACTGTTTTGTCAATTCTAACAGGCTCAACAGATGGGGGAGGTGCATGATTGCAGCCACACACCTCTCAAAGATCTCAAAAAATCCCCAAGGAACCCTTGTTGGTTTCTTGATTGACCAGTGTTTTTTTATTGTATTATTGAGCATGAGATTTTGAGATCCCTATGATTCTTATGTGATGGTGATATCATAAGCATATAATGTATTTCAGATAAATGAGGATATGTACAGAATTCCAAATTTTCCGACAATACTTTATATCCTCCTAATAATACTGTATTTGTACTGTATTGTTTTAATTTGGCCTAAATTAAATGATTATAGCCACACATAGACATTTACCTATATTTTAAAACCCCCAAAAAAGTAATAAATATGACACTGTGCTATAAAAAATGAGATAGAGAAAATATTGTGGCTCAGAAATAAAGAAAAAAAAGAAAACATGATATGCCATGGCCGGGATTCGAACCTGCAAAATCAAGGATGCAAGACTGGTTCCCTAACCACTCTGCCACAGCCTCAGCTCAACTTTAATGATGCATTTTTACGAACTCCTATGCAGTGTCTCGGTATAGACACTGCGGCGGGCAGATGAAGCAAATCCCCAAAATTTGGGGAAAATAGTTCCCCTTTTCATCACATATATGGTCAATTTTCACACAACTTCTAAAATGTGTACTCATGAATGTTCCCCAAACATTATTTTGTCAAAATATTCCAAAATTATTGAAATATGAGAAGAAATCACCGCGGAAGGAATTCTGAGTAAAAGTTGTGTTGATAATAGTTTACCGCATGTGTTGTTTATTAGTTAATACGCGCAATTCAACCAATGAAATTGTCTAAATTTTACAATCACGCGACCTGAGCATGGGACTAGAACCAATCACGTCAGTTGTTTATTACGATGTTACCATGCTTACGGTGAGATACCTGCCCGCCGCAGTGATATATCACTGCATGGGAGTTCGGCATTTTTAGTATTCATTCTTAATTTCAGAAAAATGTTTTTCCTCTACACCACAATTATTTAATAGTAGTCAATAATCATGGTAATAATATTACAATACATATCTGAGTAAATATTCTAAGCCAAATTCAAAATTAATGCTGTAAATCCAGTTTTCATTTTGAGAATCTATTTCCTGTTATGATTGTCAAAAAAACATGGCTTCCAAAACAAAATTCTTGCTTCCAATTTTCAAAATGATATATATTCATGGATCAGCTAATTTTGGCACCTGAAGCCATCCTAATAGAAAGGTAAGACTATTTTCTTGAAAAGTGTTTCCTGAAATCCCCAATTTCGGCCTCTGAAGTGTAAGAAAGTCACTTTAACAAAATCTCTGGGAATTAGATTTTGTTTGGTGAACTTCCGATTATAAGGTGGCCTGGGCCGGGAGGGTATATATGATAGATATGAGGTTCATCCCCTTGAAAGACTGCAAATTTAATAGACACCAATATGTCTGATCTCTAAAAATCTCTGATTAGTAGTGCTAAATGAAAAATGAATACAGTACCATATATTTCGCAATTTAATGTACACTTAGAAGGGCCCCAGCCCCCGAAACTACCTCTAGGTAGTGTTGTTGCGATGTGCCATAATCGTACATCGATGCATCAGCAATTTTCAGTCGTAAACATCGATGCACATCGCGATGTACATCGAGAAAAAGTCTGAGAAAAGTGCACTGAAATACCGAACGCTAATGCACTAAAATACTGAACAGAACAAATTAATAAGAGTATGCTGGTACATCCGGGAACTTCTAGTAACGGTGAAATGAAAGTAAAGTAATTTTTTTTGATTTATGGTCCATTTCGACTAGCTAAAACAGTTTTAAAGCGAAAGAATATCAGAAAACATTGGAAAATGAAATAAGACATGAGAAAGGTAAGCGATTTGCGTCAAATTTAGATAAGAAAGGGTGATATTTAGCAAATTAAATTTTTTAAAAACATCAATGTTTTGTTTCAGACATCGATGCATCGCCAGAATCAGCTTTGGCGATGTATATCGCAATGTATCGATTAATCGCGACAACACTACCTCTAGCCTAGGTTCTCTGACATGAAACTGCCCCCTTTGTCAAACGTGTCTACAGGCAAAACCCACAGTAATAAATGTGTAATTACTTTGACAAAAACTCAATATTTAGATACTAAAAATCTTTAGTGAGCCTGATTTATTTAAAAAATAAGAAAACGCAAGTCTGAGAGCCTTAATCTTACATTTTTGGGGGGATAGTCTACTCATGGGCTTTCAACTTGAAAGCCCATGGTCTACTCAACAAAGGCTTTCACAACCAGAATATCAGATATCATGTGCCTTGATTTTCTAAAGGAAAATATGTCAAATAAGAAGTCTAAAACACATTACCTCAGTTTCTTTGTTGCTGATATTATCTCCTTGCCATCTAATGAAGTTATTCAGTATTTTTAGTTTGAACTTGAAACTCTGAAAAATGTTGAGAAATGACCTTTGTATCAACACATGAATAACAGTGCTGATCCTGTCGACTTAAACGTTTCACTTTGTTTTATGTATGTTCAATATGGACATTGAACCTTTATAATTCATGCTGATCCTACATTGTACTTATATGAATCCTATAAATATCCGTATTTATATGGAAATATAGAGATACTTTTTCAAAAATTATTTCGACTTCAAACCGGAAGTAATGAACAAACATGACGCGTTGGCGGTGCTGCGTCGCCAAATATTGGTAATTGGCGAAGTAGATGTTCATATATAGAAACTTTACAATTGAATTCCACAGCTTTAAACTTGATTGAGATACAAGCTGTGTGAAGCTCTGTTGTATTAAGCTGTCAAGAGTGATAGGCTTCTTTCTTTGAAACTATTTTTATTACACAATACGAAACAATGTTTTATTCCCGGGGACGAACAACCAGAGGATCATATGGTAGGTACGGGGAACCAGCTACTTAAGGCTCGCCTACTCTATTTCCACTTATAGCTGGACGTGGTTAATCACGTCATGGTCTATCAAAACATAGTATAATCAAAATATCCTATATTTTTCATCAGATATGGAAACCTGGGGCCGGGATTTCAAGACTGATTTCTCAAGGCCAGTATAAAGCAAACTATGGTCTAATCATGGGCCTTTTCTTGAAAGTCCATGGTCAAATTAATGACCAATGCATTACAATTCCAATACACCGTTAGAAAGCTGAGAGTGTCAGCTTTATGAACAGGTCTTCGAATCTTTGGTGATTGTAAAAAATAGATTTTAATCCTTTCATCCCAAAGAGCCAGGGCTATTTATTAATTTCAGTATGAAAATCAATTTCAAAACGACAAATACCCCTCTGTCCATATGGATTATTTTTAGATTTACAATATCTAACTCAGTGTCAAATTATACTTTGAAGAATATCTAAGAGTTTGAAGGATAGGCTGAGATGGATCATTCAGTGCACCTACACACGCCACACGTCATAAACTGGCTCAATAAATTCAGGATTCGAAGCGGTCATAATATTGGTAATCCAGACGGTAGTTATTCATTTAGAGTCGATTCTCAGGACCAATGAAATCGAGGCGTTCTGTCATCACGTTTTCACCTGCGATAATGTCATATTCACCTGCGGCGCGCGGTATATGGCCTATTCCCGCAGGTGAGTACATCCGCAGGTGAGTATCGGGTATTCACTGTAAACAATGTATCGCATATTCACTGCGGCATAAGCCATACCCACCTGCGGAATATGCCATATATCCCAGGTGAGCATGACACATTTACCCCGTGTCACAAATACCGCGCAACCATGAATATCTGCCGTATTCCGCGTAACAACGGGTGCTGTACCATACAGATGTAGCACCTTTCACCTTCACCAGGGGGTCAATGAAGCCCGGTATATACCAATGGGGCAAAATCCCACTTGCCCCATCGAGTCCCATCTTGCCCCATCGAATCCCAATTTGCCCCATCGAATCCCACGAAGTCCCATGGGACCTTGATGACTTTGCCCCATCGTGCCCCATGGAGTCCCATCAAGCACCATGGAGTCCCATCAAATCCCACCGTGCCCCATTGGTGTATGTCGGGCTTCACACAACACGTCATATGATCGAAAATCTCACGATGACCCATGGAAAGAATGAACATGTTCATTCTCGATGGGACTCCATGGGACTTCGTGGGATTTTGCCCCATCTTGCCCCATCGAGTCCCACCGAGTCCCACGTGGGACTTCATGGGACCTCATGGGACCTCGTGGGACTCGATGGGGCAAGATGGGGCAAAATCCCACGGAGTCCCATGGAGTCCCACGGACTTCATGGGGCAAAATCCCAAAAGGTCCCACGAGGTCCCACGCAATGTTAAGTCTATGGAGGTACACATTCGTATCTTTGCGAAAGTTCTGTTAATGACCCCCATGGGTGATATAATTTTGCCACTGCGTTAGTTTGAGCAATCTGAGGTAAAAATCATAATGAATTATTTGTTCTCTAATTAGATTTTTAGGTTTCGGCGATTGCAATAACCAAAGAGAATATCTTTTTCTACCCTGCGCGTAGCTAGTTTTAATTATAAACTACTAGACGAAGCTCTCTTTTAAGATTTGAAGTCGAACGAATGCAAAGGGTATCTTTTTCTGAAACCAGACAGAAATTGTAGAATAATACGAAGATCAGTTTACATTTTTCACCTATGTAAATAGCAACGTTTTGAAACCCATCTATAACACTGAGAATGTCTTTCCAGTGGATCCAGATGTAAACTTTAAAGCCTGCTTTTTCGATAGGTTTAAAAGATGTCGCATCCATACAGTGTAGCGGTCGACTGTGCCACAGTTCATAAATACATCAATGATTGTTTCCAGTAGTAGTGTGCGATGTGTACGCCCCCAGGTGAGGAAAAACATGATTAGTTCTTATTCTGTAACTTTGTTTTCTGAACATATTAGATACACTCAGATTTTAGTTTTCAATTTAATTCAGGATACACCTGACTTCTGCGTACATGTGTATTGGCTAAGCAGCCGATAATCTAGTGTGTTTTCTGTTTACAGATACACTACCTAAGTCATATCAATTACACATTTTCTTTTCATAAGTATTTACGTATAAAGTTTCAATATCATAAAGTTTTGGATACTTTAATTGAAATTGATTTCGGGAGAAGGAATATTTTACCATGTTAAACTGTACAATAAATCAACCTGTTACTATATCCTTCGCTACAGCCTTGCAAATAGAAAATAAAATACTTTTCAAAGTTGATAAACACTTTTTTAAAAGCACACTTTAGATGTCATTTAACATGTAGATATCAAATATGAAATCACTTTGAATTTTAATGACGTGAATCACGATTATTTCTCCTTGCATCTAGTCTAATTAGAAACGTCCACGCTGTATCCTACAACGGTGACCATCGCCAATGAACAGCATCAAAAATACCAGCTTACAGCTGTACACTAACTTTGAAAATTACCCATGGTGAATTAAAATTAAGGGGGTATTTACGGTTATTTTACCAATATTACCGTACCGATTCCGTTCACCATCATCATTTAATTATTGTAGACATTTGTTATTTATACTTTTGATTAAGAATTTCCAATGATATGCAACTCCTCCCGTCGTGGTGTACCTCTAGCTGAACTGTATTTTTCACTATCTCGGATTTGGACCAATAGGTTTCGGACTATCGAGATTCGGATGAATGAAATTCAGACAAAGTAGCACTGTGATTCAGACCATATAGGATTCTGACCAATGGTGTGTCCTTTATTGATCAGTTTCGCTAACAGAAACCAGTACAATGGCTTTGCATTCCTTCTGCTTCCAAAACGAAGAGCTTCCACTCGGGGCTAGTTTACCCAGGCTAGTTAGCTTATTACTAGACTCTGAAACAAGAAATGGACGATTCAAAATTCTATGAACACGCTACAAACAAAAAACTTTAAATTTCTGGTGGCAATTCAGAGAGTCTGCCGATTTCGAATTCATATGAAAAAAGGATAGACATAACATCCTTTAAGGTGGTTGTTTACCCGAAGGCCCAAAAACTAACGTGTACATATTTTTTCATGAAATGACCATGGTTATGCTCCATAATTATGCTTCCTGATTAAAAAAACAACGTCATGTTTTACTTAAAGCTAGACTAGGAGAGTATACATATGTATAAAATGTATAAAACATCTACAAAATTGAACGACGGGATTGTAATTTTCAAGTTTTGCACACTGGAAAATTTTATGATTGAAGTTAATTTTAAGAAAATAAAAATCATAGTTCACCGACTTTGTTTTTATTATTTCCATTCGAAAAATGCAACAACAAAAATATATTAAAAATCCCATATTACTTATGATTCATTACATCCACACTCGTCAAATCCGATAGTTCATCTATAGCATGTAGCCACCCGTATTGCCAACTACCTTTAACACGTAATTCAAGGGGATTTCCTGTTGCGAAACTTATGGAGGGAGGGGGTGTATGATGGCTTCAGGGTTGGGCATGATGGCTCATGATCACTCGATATATCATACGAGTCACTTTATCATCTTATTTGTTATGGTAGCTGAAACATCTAACTCACATATGGCAGTTTGGAAAGTTTCATTGCTTCAGTTTAAAGTACTTGCGATAGTTCTGAAATAGTGACCTTTCACTGTAGATAGTCATTGGAGTAACCAATGGAACGTGTTCAAGAACGGACTTTACTTTTCCTTCAAAACTAAAGGTTGGCAACTGTAACTCCCTATTTTCACTAGTACAGAGTGGGAGAGCATGTCTTTGATTACGTTTTATTTACAGGGTGACCCAAAGAAACAGAACCCTCCAAACATGAAATAATTTCTTCAATACACATGTAATCAGCTTCATTTTTCATGTACATAAACTACAATCTATGGATGACAATGTGAGACCACATTCAATATTTTTCTTGTTATGGTCAATTAAAAAATGTGCCCACTTTAGAAAAAAATGTAAGATTTTCGTGTCAACCAAAAAGGTTACACATCGTGATATCACAAATGATAATTTCTTTGTAACAAACTTCATATCATATTATCATCCCTTGATTCTAGTTAATGCACATATAACTAGTTTGATAGGATAGGTATTTGAGAAATTATTACACTTTTATAGTGGGTTCTGTTTTTGGGTCACCCTGTACACTGTCACGTGACCTGGAAAACTACCTCATAGTGTTGATTTTCCGACCAATTTCTCACCTATTGGAATTGAAAATGTATCTATTTTAACCCGTGAGTAGTTTTCTAATTACAGGTTTTGCAAATAAAAGTTTAATCACAAAAAGGATATAGCGCATAATACAATTTGAGAATTCGGATTGCCATTGCTAAATATTGGGAGGGGAGTGTAAAGTATATATACTGGTTGAACTGGTATTCTCCCTTATTTTCCATGAAATCGATGCAGAATTAAATTGTCATGCATTTTATTTCAATTCAGTACCAACAAAAACTAAACGAGGTTTCCCTCAATAACCTTCCTATATAACCTACCTATATATTTTGATCCTAGAATCCCTCAGAGCGTGTCAAATAAGCCTAAATCAGATTTTTTAAAAATATATGATTCCTAGAAACGCTCAGAGCGTGTCAAATAAGCCTAGATCAGATATTTAAAAAATATATGTAAATCATATATTTTGATCCCT